TGAAGATTTATTCAGTATTATAGATAGGTGTTCTTAGAACACTTCTGAACACTTCCGTACAACCAACATTTAGAGTAATTATTTAGTCAATTTTTCCTTGATAGTCACAAAAATATTACAAAAGGTTTTTACTTTTGAGAAATCTAAGAAGTCATCCACGCGAAAAAGGATCGGGCAAATACAACCTTACCCTTTACGATATTATTGCACTTTATACCGAACATATATACCCCCATCGAATTCAAGCGCATAGAATATTAGTTTAATTTCACATGCAGTTGCATTTTTAGCACATTTCTGAACAGGTGGGGTACTATCAAGAAGCGCCGGAAAAATTAAATACAATGTTCAAGAACATATCTTATAAAGTACGGTGTGATAATCTTTTCTTTGAGATCTTTGACCTCAAAATTTCAGCTTTAAGACCCTCAAACGCTTAGTTGAGGAGTTCAATAACTATGTAGATAAAATTGTTAGTAGTGTTGCGGGATGTATCTGGCATGTATATTTAAAAGCGTTTTTTCAACCAGTTATTCATATTATAAAATTCAAAATGCAATTTTCTTTAGAGTCCTCATCCATAAAGAATGGTTGCGTGTGAGATTCGCAAAACCCATCTATACTATAGAAATAATATGTGGCGATTATAGTCCTGTTTTATTAACGGTTCGTTTGGTACTCTACTTTTGAGGTTAAAATGATGTACTTGTAGAATAACAAATGCCTTTATCTGCGTCATAGACCGCTTCTAACACTCTCAAACTTTTCTCTTGCAAATTGACAATTTTTTGATGTGTTACTTGCCCGCGCGGCGTCTTTTTGTCATCAGAAGTCAAATAAAGGAATAATGTCGTAGTACTGTATTGTGGAAACAACATTTATACACAATAATAATAAATCATACTGATTACTATTGATCCGGCATATCAAACTCACGTCAAGGTAAGGCGGAGCTACTAAAAAAATGGGTTAATAGTGTTATGGAATGTTAACAGACCAAAACGAAGGTTACAAAATGAAGGGGGAGCATGGACTATTGGTTACTGAAAATGTGTTAAACTAGAAAGGACCTTAAACGTTTTTGTCAATTATGAATTAATTAACGATATTATGGAACATATGAAGGTTTCCCATTGGCTATTGCGCCTCAACGAAAACATCCATGCCTTACACAATATTCGAACTCGCTACCCTTCGTTCTCAATCATTTGCTCCACGTAAGGAAATTCTGTAACACGAGGATTATTGCATTAAAATATAACATGTTTATTCATCCTGAATAGTGTAAGTATGACAATTCACAATGTATTCCATTTTATCAGTTATATGTACGTTTGACCACCAACGTCACGTCATGGGTTGTAATACAGCGCAATAATTAAACCAGAGTTTTCGTAAATAACATTAATTAACCGGTAATTATTCATCAGAGGCAGTTATCCAGCATCGATCTGATCCATCAACATGCGATCGTGCTGATTGGAAAGTCGTTGATTGCAAACCCAGGCGAATGCCAAACATTCTCCCTATGTGCTAAACGTAAGCTAGTTTGTGGCTGTTGCCGATATTGAGTTCGTATGGCGACTATTGTAATTACAGTGATTTCGCAAGTCACGTTCACACGAATACTGGAGCAGTAACCAATACAACGGGCTAACACCTTGCGAAACTTCGGTCTCCACTTCGATTCTTAGAGCCGAGCTAGGCACCGGTCCTCCAACCTCATATAACCCACTCCTCCTCTGATCTGCGAAAACCTCAATCCACGAACCTTGATTTAAGCGTGGAGATGCGGGATGCAACTACTATTTGAGATATCTCCAAGATAACGGGTGATATAAATAAGCTATTACTTCTTTATCAAGTTTTAAAAGCAATTACTACAAACAGTATGAACAAAGGTCGTGATCATAGAGCGCCTGCTTAAGCTTACATAAAACCGAGAATTTTCTTCTCGTGCGAAGCATTTACTTCAAATTTTCGGATCAACCTCAGTAGGCGACTCCAATCGTAATATGTAATACAAAATAAAATTTATGCTCCTTCCTTATATTGATGAACCCCTGCTGGTTACTTGTTTCAAGGCCATCCTCTTCTGAACTGCTCATAATCAAGATACAAAAAAACTCGAAGTACAATACACAACAAAGGAATTAGTCGTTGAGAGAAGTGAATGCACTACTTTTTACGGAACTCTTTATTCATATGAAAAGAAGTAATTGCTCGTGAGACGTAGTAGTTCTTTCTTATAGTCGTGAGTAATTGTTCTGTAGTACTTTCTCATTTTTTCATGTTCATTTTTTTTTAGTGCTGGAGAAATGACTAGTGTTACTGTGATCAACAGACCTCCCGTGCAAACAAATGTATGATTTTCTGTTGATTGTAGTTTTTGGCTAATGCTGTCATTCATTGGAAAGACAGAAACTTCCTTTTAAATGGCAAACCTAAACATAAACGTTACGCATGGACGTGAACATTAACATAAGTGATAGACTGAAGTATGATAGACTGATGATATGAAGTGACAGACAATGTCTAACATCAACGTAAGCAAAATAAGAGTTTCTATTGTCTGTGTGACATTCTACTTTACAATTGGTCGGATGTTTCGAGATATCGACTGTGTCCATGGCCCATGTGGCGTTACTTCGTCTATCGACTTGGATCCCATTTCGATTCTCAATTTTCAGTTGACGTACTTTGGTTCATATCTTGTGTCTTACTTCAGCATAAGCACAGAAGTTTGAAGCTTGCAAGTTTTTAAGTTAACATCTTGCGTTTTAAGCTTATACGAACGCATTGTGAACGAGTCCGCTAATGGGCGTAGTCCAAACTTTGATTTTAACGCCATGCCCATGTTTATGTTTATGTTTGCATTGTATAAGGTCCTTTATACTTTAAAACGAAGCATTTCAGATTTGAGTTTGGAATATATGGTGGTGGAATCGTCTTTTTACAAAGGAATGTAGTGATCCTACACTTCTATGGCCACCGAAGATCTTCATCATGAACTTCCACACTGACTCTTCCCTCCACTGCTTTCGTGAAATCATATTCTCGGAATCAAGAATGAGCGAGTGATATCACGTGCTTGCTGAAGTTTCATAGAGCCCATGTGTAACTGGGTTGAAAACAAACATATTTTTTTTAGAGATCATCGCCTTATTGCAGTGTTGTTTGAGGAGGTTTCTCTCTAACGCCCCACTACGGTTCACTTGAGCACCGGGTTCCCGTATACAACATTGTATAAACAATGAACGTTATTTATATTTGGAATAAAACGTATATGTTACGGTGTGTAGAGCTATTTTAAACATTACAATTAAAATGTTACACATTTTCACTTTTTTTGTCACGTATTTTGGAAAACACACACGCACACACTAAATATCGTAACGTAACATGTTCCGTGATTTGATCAACTCCACCCCCAATCATAAGGATAAAATCGTTTGGCGCGGCGCAGGCACAGTTTACAAAGATTTAAAGGACGCCGCGACGTTGTATACGCGGGTAGGGTGGGACCCGATACCGCGCGATGGTCAAGACCATAGAGTTTTCTTTAAAACGGGCTCGGGTGTGGTACTATAAAATACACCGCGACTTTTCATAAACACACGCGAAGGCGAGACTGTTTGAACCCCCATAAAAATTGCATTCCGGCTATGCGTAACGCGTACTTGCAGCACAGCTCCCAATAGCTGGTTTTATGCAATCAGGGTGAGGCACTTGGATCAGGAGGGGCCTTCTGACATGTGTGAGGCTCCAATTTCATTCCGTACCTGCCCTTTGAAGATGCACTTGGATTCGTCTCAAGCTCTGATATGTAATAACCTATTTTTTGCACCTCTAAATTTATTATCCACTTGCAAATTTATTGAATTGAACTGATGCCTTATTTTACGTGGCAAGACTCGGGCCATCAGGCCCGCCTTCCGTCTGATCACGCAAATTTCGCTACGCTCCTTTCACCAACTAGCAGAGAAAGGAGGTATTGCTTGGGCGAGAAACAGGTGATTTGAATTTAGCTCAGAGGCGTCATTTAGGCTTGAAGATCTTTTATATGCAAGTAAATCTACTAACATGGGACAACCTGCTTTACTTCCCCTCCGAAAGCAGGCGTACGAAGGAATTTTTCGCCCACGGCTTCGATCGGGTTTGAATCCGCCAACTTGGGTACAACAGCCCGAAACGCTAACCGTTACACCATCGCCGCGCGTTGACATCTGAAACAGGCACTTGTATGAATTGCAGTACTAACTCGCACTAGCATGAACTCTGTTTATTTTGGGCACTAGAATCGCGCTTAGAACTCATGAGCTTATCGTAACTTGTGCTCCGCCCGGTACCGCCTGGTTCGGAAATCGAATTCAGCCGATCGCCACGTTAACGCGTCATCGCCGACGCCAAGTGGGTCCTGAGCTCGTGCGTTGTCCTGTGTCCATGCAGGGTGAACGAGACACGAATCACCGCCACCGCCACCGAGTGTGGGGCCCGCTCCTACCGCTTCTACCGGCGCGCGCCGCACCGCAGGCCCTTCCGGCGCCCAGCCGTTTAGGAAGAAACTCCCCACGCCATTGCTTAGTTAGAATTTTGTGAATGACCCTTAATCGGGTCCCTGTCATCTTAACTTTCCCGCTGAAAGACGGAGAGACTAGATGCTCAACGAAGGAACCTGAGAGATGCCACCAATACGGCATATTATTTGAAGCGGCAAAATTAATTGTTTTTTGTTGTTGTAATCACGTCAATGACACTAATAAGCCGCAGTACCTAAAATCATAAATTGTAGTAATTTTGAAAATTCATTTATTTGCATGCTCATCATTTTAAAGTTAAATTAAATGTGTTGTGGAATTAATTCTGTATGTGTTTTATTGAACATGCAATCCCGCATCCAAAGAACGTCTCGGGAGGTTACAATATATGTTATGCTATTTTATTACAATATATTCCGTTCATTAATGATCAAGTATGCGGTTATTTGTGCGCAGGAAGGGATGTCTGCAGCGAAGGTGAAGGAGCAGCGAGGGGCGGCGGCGGCAGCGGCGACTGCGAAGATGGGGGTGGAGAAGTGGTACGAGGGCCGCACGCTGCTGGTGACGGGCGGCGCGGGCTTCATGGGCAAGGTGACGCTGGAGAAGATGCTGCGCGCCCTGCCGGGCCTGCGCCGCGTCTACGTGCTGCTGCGCCCCAAGCGCGGCGACGGGCCCGCGCGCCGCCTCCAGGACATGATCGCCAAGCCGGTGAGCCACGCCCCGCGCGCGGAGAAAGCGAATGGGGCGGGAAGAGCCAGAGAGAAGTGCTAGGAAGAGACAGAACGCCAGAGAACGGCTGAGTGTCAGTGGGAGAAAAAAGGGAGTTGATAGAGCAAATTCCAAGCGAGGGAGGGAAAGGGAAACTGTGTGTGATATATATAGCGAGAGAGAGATAGAGAGAGAGAGATAGAGAGAGATAGAGACGATGAGATGAGGATAGCAGAGAGATAGAGAGAAGATTAGAGAGAGGATAGAGAGAGTATAGAGAGAGATAGAGATAGAGATAGAGATAGCGAAGAGATAGAGCTCGAGAGACGATGTTAGATAGAGAGAGATAGAGAATAGAGAAGAGATAGAGATAGAGAGATAGAGATAGAGAGAGATAGAGATATGAGAGAAGATAGATATGAGAGAGAGAGATAGAGAGAGAGAGATACGAGAGAGAGAGAAGAGGAGAGACGAGAATAGAGAGAGATGATAGAGATAGGAGAGATAGAAGAGAGAGATTAATGGATAGACGAGAGATAGATAGAGAGAGATAAGAGAGAGAGAGAGATAGAGAGAGAGAGAGATAGATGCAGAGAGATAGAGAAGAGAGATAGAAGAGAGAGAGATAAGAGAGAGAGAGAGAGACATTATGATGCATCATCAAAAAAGACCAAGTACATTTGGCATGACTTTGAGAAATTCTGCTTCAAAGTTTTTAACAGATAATCATTTCCGATGATGTAATTCCATAAAACAAAGTCTCTGCGCCTGTGGACTTCGTCTGTTAAGGTTGTGGATCCTTCAAATAATACGAGTGTTAATGAACAAATTTAAAATATTGTGACACACCGTCAGCTGCACGCTGTTACCTAATCAAGAGCTTCGTTACCACTTTAATTTTTGGTATTTAAGTCCCTGATTGGAAAACCGCGTCACAGCTGATCTGTCACAAGTCACAATATTTAAATCCGATTATAATATAAGAATGTGGATATGAAAGGAAAAAAATGAGATAAATCTTTGTGGAAAGGATGAGAGGATGGAGAATGAAACGGACGATGTCAGTGATGTGATCAATGATTTTTCAGTGGAATATTCTTCTCTAGAATGAATAATGATCAATATGCCAACAAACGAATGCGCTTTCTTCGGGTTTTAGTTATATTAATTCTTGAAATGAATCCCAGAAGCTGAGGAAATAAAACAGGAGCCTTTTTCGGTTTCATAACCTCCGTTTCGGCTCCCGGCGCGTGCCGGCGCAAAGGGCGCGATCGCGGCCCCTGAGGGACTCCCGTGCGCAGGTGTTCGAGCGCGTGCGGCGCGAGGCGCCCGAAGCGCTGAAGAAGCTGGTGGCGGTGGAGGGCGACCTGCTGCAGGAGGGCCTGGGGCTGGCGCCCGCCGACCGCGCGCGCCTCGTCGCCGAGGTGTCGGTGGTGCTGCACGGCGCCGCCAGCCTGCGGCTCGAGGCGCCGCTGGGGCCCACGCTGCGCCACAACGTGTTGGGCACGCGCCGCGTCCTCGACCTCGCGCTCCAGATGCCGCACTTGCAGGTGAGAGCCGCCGAGCGAAAGGGGACACGCCACGGGGATAAGATATATTCGTAGGGAGACAGATCTGCGTCTGAGACATGATGCCAAAACGGGAAAGAGGACAAGCCGACGCGAAAATGGCCAAGACAAGGGGCAAGGGGACAAGAAAGAAGAAATAATACGAGTCAACATAATGCAAGAATACAAAATTACGAGTAAACACTAGTTGTACTACAACCGTGCATACTTTCTCGCATTATTTGTAACGAGTATGCATGGAGTTAATTTGCCATGAGCTTTACCGCTACACCACGTAGTCGCTAAGCAGTTTTCTCTTGTCTACGCTTAAAACACTAATGGTCTCTCCCACTACTTATACCTTAGGCCATTTTCAGAATTCGAAGTTCAGCAAAAATAAAACTACATTTCAAGCGTCCTTTTCTCTATCCGTCGAAGAAACAAAATGTTTGAAAATTGGAGACGTTTTTGAGAAAATGTTTTTTTATAAACTGAATTTAATTCATAGAGAATTTATGCAAAAAAGCTAATTGGTTTTTGAAAAAATCTACTAGATCTTTTTAAAAATTCTGAGATTTTAGAAATTTTCTTTCAAGACAAAAAGCTAGTGACATTGATTTTACAAACATTATACGAAGAACCGTTTATTTACCATTCTGCCACCTGTTATGATGGTATGGTATCTCAAGTTACGAAATAAAAGGTGAATGCAAATTACGGGAATTACGCTCGTAAGGTTCGAGGTCGTATGCTCTTTTTCAAAGAGGCGTGAGGCAAGGTCGTGAGCAGAGAACCGGCAGTCATCGTACGCAGGCATAACTAACCACGCGTGCTGCTCGCCGCCTGGGAAGCCCGGCATCTTGCGAGCTCGGGCAACTTCCCCTGACACCGCTCTCATTTCCCATCCAGTAAGGAGTAAATATGACAAAGTTGCAGCGGCGCGAGGCATGGATTAATAATTTCATAGGTTAATACGTATGCTTCCCAGATTTGTTCTATCAACCAAACGAGATTTAAATAATGATTATGCTTTTACTATTTATTACTCTTTCATTTTTTAATTCATCCGAGCATAAACATTTTTGCCATGGGGACGAATATGTTTTAATGGCGAATTCTTTCCTTGTTTTCCTTCTTTCCGTTTTATTTTGTTTTATTAATCATTCAGTTTTTGTTGAATATAGTAAAAATATTAAAATAAATTAACAAGTCTCCATAAATTAGTATTTTTTCTTATTGAAAGACAGCTCTTTTATTAGACAAGAATCTTTATCTTCTTAACCTCCTACCCCAACGTAGGAAGTTAATGCAATTATTGCACTCTTGAGCAATCAGGAGTACAAAATCAAAATAATTTAGATTCAAAATGTTTAACTTAACAATTTGAATTCTGACTGATCTATTATTTTACTTCAATGTGTAATTTTTAGCTTTAAAACGATGAAATGGGGATTAATGCTGATACATTTCGGGCAATAACTGTCAAGTAACTTCCCCAGAAGTGTCATGAGCTAGGTATCCAGTTATGTACCGCCATCAGTAGCAATCTGCACAACCCCTACTTTTAAATCTCGCACGATATGATCTGGACGCATTGCTCGCGAATCTCGCGACATTCACAAACAAATCTAGACGTTCAAGCTGGAAAACGGAACAAGAAAATCCTCATTGACACAAACACTTCTCTTACATTACCCGAAATTTTGAGTCGTCTAGTTGAACACAAGCCACTTAAATTGAAATACTTGATGCACTTTAAGTCGAACTAAGAAATTAATATCTGTTTAGAGTTTTCGCATACCGTGTTTACTTACGCGTTGGAAATATATTAAATGAATCATTATTAAATACCAGAATATGAATTTACAACAAGAGCAGCTTGATGAACAATCTGGTGCATACAAAAAATACAATCTGGTGCATACATATTTCGTTGCATCAATGAAGTAATGTACCTTCATAGAGACAAATCGATTGTGAATTAATCATTACTGGAAATTGGTTTATTAGTTCTGAATTGTTGTGGTGAATAGTTAATTTGTGTGTATAAACTTAAATTTAATTGCAGTACGTGATTACAACATTGAAAATATATCATATCTCGTTCGTCCTTACTTTCTTAGCCAAATACGCCAACACACCTTCGCACATATTGAATTTTTGCCTTAGTGCAGTCCTTAAAAAGCTTAAAATCTTTATATCAACTTTCGACGCATTTGCCAGGCAGCAAACTACCCACCTTCAAAGCTCCATTCTAATAGTCTTCGGAATTTCTTCTATCATCAACATTGCGACTGCTGTGATGAATAGTTGCAGAACGCTACTGATGAATATGTGCAGTACATCATGAACTTCTTAATTACCGGTAATTCACTCCCTGAATTATTTTTTCCAGAAAACGTATTAAGATGTTAAAAAGGTGAAAGGATAAGATGAAAAGTTGTAAGGAATTGTTATATTTACACAAGTCCAACTAATGTTGCACAGGTTGGGCGATATTTGCACATTCCCCTTCTCGCGACAAAACGATAGGCTTTTAGCAAGAAAATAAGTTTTGGACTACAAAAAAAGGATTATACGAAGTTTATTAGTGTAGTTTGTTATATTTTGGCAATAGATACAATTTTTTCAGTACATATTGATTCTTGTATTGATTTTATTAATTCTCGTAACTCTGTGGCTTCGCTCATTTCCTTAGATGTTGACCGCTGAGGTAAACAGATTTTTATTCGTTCGTGACAGTGTCACGTAACGCTAACAATGTAGGGGATGGGGAAACATCAGTCATTTTAAGAAGGGGTTATGATGATTGGCAGCACGATATGCACTCCGTAGTATACCAGAAGCTGAACTCCAGTCAGCTGCGTTGCGATCTGTTTTTCGGTGAGGATTGGATGAGCCCAGGAGCTGAATTCGAATCAAAGCCTAGCTGAAGAACGTGAAATTAATAGTCCATTCAGACCAGCGTATAGAAAATGCAGAATTCAAAGGAGTTATATCGGATTCAAAGCCTCACTGAAGGGAACATGGAATTAGTAGTCCATTCATTTCATCGTATTGAAACTGCAGTATTTAATGAAGTGCTGGCGGTTTAGTTGGACGTTTCCACGTGGTGGTGAAGAAAAAAATCTACCAGAAGCCTTTTGCAACGGTAATGGATTCAAGAAAACTGATGTAATCTGTCAACTGGCTGAAAAAATGTTACGTCAAATGTGTAAAAAACCAATCCGCGATACAAAAATGTTGAAAGATGGCGACTTAAATACATTCCAAAGTACGCTTGTGTTTAATTAGCATATTTTATTCTAAGTTCCTTGTGGCAAGTGTAAAATTATGAACATATAACCGTCGCTATACGTGAGAAATGCCAAAGCAAATTTTATTGGAACACGGTACTCTTATGTGGTAGAGGTGGCAACAAATCATATTGGTGACGGAAGTATTATGATCCCGCCTTAAACATTACGTGCAAGGCTCTCGTTTCAACAGTCCGTTTAAAAACTGAATAATTCAAGTTTCATAATTTTCTAGGAGAGGTCCTATACGCTTAAAATCTCATTTTGATCTAGAAATTGAAATATTGGATACATCTGTACAAAGATTTTGCAATAATAATAATAATAATAATAATAATAATAATAATAATAATAAGTTGAATTTATTGTATTTTGCAGACATGTACTAATTAAAACTTGGATAATATAAAACAATTAAAATTCATAAAGCCTAGCCGTAATATATTGTAGACAAATTGGCAAAAAAAGTCTTCTTCGATTGTACAATAATGTATTATTATAATTGGAATATGCAGACATAAAACAATGTTATATGAACTTACTTTCTTTACTCTGTACGTTTATATTGCATTGCGCTTTCATTTCTTATTCTTAGAAGTCTCAAAATAAAAATAAAAACTTCGAATGTTTGACACCTTTAGGGCTGAACAGCATTTCAATCTTACAGTCTTATAGCCAATTTTAGTCACACCCTTTCCACCCAAGGAATACTCTATTGCTATAAAAGACGAGAATCCCTATTAAGAGTTTTAATTCTTGAAAAATATTACCGCTGTTTTGCCTTTACAGCAAGAAGTTGCGCAGATTGGCAGCTAGGTAGCATTGTAACATAAGGAAATCTCCATCGTCAGAGCCAAAAAGCAGATGAGCGAAACGCAAGGCTGCACATGAGACAAACTCGCGACAGAAGACGTCCCTGTGATCATTGCGTCAGTGCGGAGTATGATTCAGACCTTGGCCATGACAATGTCTGTAGCGTCATCTCGTTTCATTGATCTAAGATACCGTCACTCACCTACTTCTGGCAGCAACAACACAGAGAAAAGTTACTGCAGTGTCATTATACTGGAATGTTGTGTACTCACTTGCGGCCCACGGTGCCACATCTTGTGGTTCGCGAAAGGTTATTGGTCGAATGTGTAAGACCCTTGCATCCACGTCGGGCGAGAAGATTGGGCCCCTAGCGCATACGCCCTGTCGGGGTAGACACCCCTTAAGGTAAAAATAGGTTTAAATTTATGGATTTTTTCCTAGTAAATTCATATATTCAAAATCATCCTAATGTGTTTCACCGCGTTGAGCATGATACGGCATGATAACATGCATGGTTCCATCCCCCCCCCCCGTTTCAGAGCAATCAGGCAAACTGCTGATATCAACAATACAGGGAAGTCAAATGTGGATCGCCAGATTTTTATACATATGGCCCGCAACCACATTAAAGGTGTTAGTTGTGGCTCATGAGGTATTGCAAGTTGGACACCCCTGGTCTATGTCATCGTTTTTTTTGTTTGTTTTTTTTTTCCATCGAGATTCCAAGTTGTGTTATTAGCAATACGAATCATTCAGCTGGTGTTACAGGCTGAGCTGATTCAAGGTAGTATTATCGTTGTCTACAGCGACTCTGACCGGAAAGATCTAGGATTCGAGTCCCGATGGTGGCGAAATTTCGACACTAGCTAAATAGCTAGATCGAATTTAATCACC